AAAAAAAAAAAAAAAGAAGAAATAAATTTAAGGATTGAAATCATTGAACTGCATAACGAAGTTTGTATAATTGTTAATTTGTTTGAAGTATATAAAATAAAATTGTTTACTTTACTGGTGTCACTGTTGGTATTACTGTTCAGCTGTTAGCACTGGTGCTGCTAATGACGATGATGGATTTGAAAAAAAAAAAAAAAAAAGGAAAAAAACATCGAAATGTTACAAATTGTATGTGGATTTATTGCACACCACGATGTGTTGGATGTTACATTATCAAGGCTGTTAGGCAAAAAAAAACATTCCTGAAGAAGAAATCATTGTGGGATAGTCTGTTTATCTTAAATAAGTTATCAGTTTCGTTCAGACGATGCTTTCTTGATTTGTTTGTCAAGACTGTCAACAGGAAACGCTTCGCAAGATTGAAAGGTTAACAGAGTGTTTGATTCAGGATTATTTGTTGGTGTATCTGTGGTTTTCTCTCCCTTTTTTTTTTTTGACGGAGAGAGGAGGGAGGAGAGGGGGAAACGAAGCAGATTTGTTCAAAGTTCGATAATGAAGTCAACAGTTGAGAATTTCTTAAGATTTTGAGCAAATGCTGTAGAAGTTAAAGTTTACGCTTGTTGTTATTATCGATGTTGTTGGTGTTGTTGCTACTGCTGCAGCTGTTGATGTCTTATTATCGTTGTCGGCGTCGCCGGCATTGTCATAATGGTTGAAGTATCTGGGAAGAAATTCGATTCTTTCAATCCATGCAAAGCTTGCGCAAAGTGGATTTGGGATAGTGGTTGTAATGGTAATAATAATAGTAGCGATGGAAAAGTAAGAAAACAACCAAAATGATTGTTTGTGCATCGCAAAGTTCATGTTTTCTTAAGAGAAAAAGTAGTTTTTTTTTCTTTTGCATTTAAAAATAAAGAAAATAAACTACATTTTTTTCTGTTGATTGTACATTTTGTTCAGATAATGAGAAGAGCTTTATTGATGGAGTGAATGCTGGGAGGAAAGAGGATAAATTCTGGTTTTTCTCGGTCGGTAATGGTGATGATGTTTGCTCGTCTGTCAATTTTTGTGGACGAAGAATTTTTAAGAACCACAAGCAAGTAACACCAATAAATTTTGTTGAATGATAGGGGGTTTTTTCGTGAGGAGTTAACCTCTGTTATAACTCTGTAGTCATGGATTGTTGTCATACGGCAGCATAATTAATTTTAAGGGAGATGTCTACATGAAGCTTACACGTATAGCAGGTATAACTGTTCTTCAAAAGGTGAGAACAGTTAAAAACAGTGGCCAGAACAGCGGTAAACACGATAATGTTTCTTGGGTTTATTTCTACTCTCAAAATGTTGATACTTCTTGAAGTTAGTTCAAGTGATCTGTTGCCGCTGTTGTCGTTTTTTTTTGAGCGGTGTACAATAGACATTAGGCGGTTTCGAGTAAATGTTTATTGCTGCTGTTGGTTAAAGTAATGATGATGTTAGTGTTGGCGTTAAAGAAGGTAAGGATGATGACGACGACGACGTCAACGATGATGATGGTGTTGATGATGCGTTTGTCAGAGCTGCTTTGCCCTGCATATTTTCAATTTTAAAAAAATCTGCAAAAATATTTTTGTTTGTAGAAATTGTTAAAAGAACAAACATTGAAAATGGTAGAAAACTGACAAAAAATGTTTGGCTTTATATGTTTTTTTTTTCGTTTCTTTTTTTAGGGGGCATGAAAATTTAACGTTTGTTTGATTTTTTTTTTTTAAAGAGTAAAGGAAAAGAAAAGAAACAGAAACTGCATAAAAAAGGGGAAGGGAAGGAACAGAGAGTTTAATTTCACTCGTTTTCACCATGTTTCCTGCGTGTCCGTTTGTGTTTGTATAGTAGCACTTTTATTATTTTATGGGGTTTCTGGAAGAAAATATCGGAATTAGAAGAATTAGTGGCAGCACAATGAAAAATAAGAAACAGCACACTTAAACTTACCTTTTATCTTTTTTTTTTTTACCATGTTCTTTCTTTCTTTTTTTTTTTTCTTTTTCTTCTACCAGTTTAATTTTTTAAGTGTTACTAGTTTTAGTGGTTTTTTATAAATTGCCAAAAATGTAACAATATTGAGAGGAGAAGAAAAAACAAAAAGAACTTAAACTGTGAACACTCTTAGTGGTTGTTCTTGAAATAACTGTTTAAAACAAAAAGTGTTGTCAAGTGCAAAAATTATTTTCAACTAAATTTGCTAGACTATGATAGAGGACATCTTGGAAGATGTTGAAGAAGGCCAACAGGACAAATTAGAGGGACAGTGGAGTGAAAAGGTGGAAAGAAGAAAAAAGGGTGAAAGATTTTTGTTAGAACGCTAAAATGTTGTTGGGGAAAAAGATAGGGAAAC